GCCACTCCCAGCCTTGCAGGAGGGCAGCCCCACCCTGGGCCAGCTCTTCTCCAATCCTCCTGCAAGTTTCACCAGGTTAACCCTCTACCTGGCAGAGTAGAGCTCTGATCTTGTCACTCTCTAGCTCACAGCCTCCAAAATGTCCTCAGTGCCTGCCAAACCCACCACACCCCTCTCCGCCTGGTGTTCATGTGCCCTCCCCCTGCCGTGGGTGCCACCCACCTTCCCACCTGCTGTGCTCTGAGTGCCCAGGGTTTCCCTCGTGTCCTAACAGTGCTCCTGCAGCTCCCGAGACCTGGAATGGCTTCAGGAATCTCTCCCAGTGCCCCTTCTCACTGGACCTGGGTTCCAGGCTCCTCACCATCACCACACACACTGCCACATGTCAGTTTTGTTATTGAACCTTTCTGATCTTGTTTTCTCGTCGTAAAATGGAGAGGTAATACTTACCTCTTAATGTTGCCAGGACTAAAGCACTTAGGGTCTGGACACTGCACATGCTCCACAAATGGCAGCTACTGTTACTTTCACTTCCACTCACAGGGTCCCTGAGGACGACACAGGGAAACACGTGGGAAAGGGAGTAGCACATAGTAGGTGCTTAGGAACTGAGGACCCTGCTCTTCCTGTTGTGGCATTTGATAGCTCTTAAGGCAATTCTGACACATTATGTAGCTTTAAACATGCATTTCTCCTGGGTTTCTTTCTCCTCTTTCCCTCCAGTGCCCAATGAAACCAGAACATAAACTTCCTGAGGGCAGGGCCGTGACTCTCAGGGACCCCTGAACACTTTACATGGGCATCTGATGGGAAACTTAAAAGCAGCAATGAGATCTGGAGGGGCAGGCTGAGGGTATTTGGGGAACTTTACGTTCTTTGGGGCCCTTTGGAGATGGAGAGAGAGAACTGGAGACCCAGGGCCAGCTGCCAGGCTGCCAGCTGTTTAGGGAGGACACCAAGCCTCCCATCTGGTCCCAGAGTGGGGAACCTGGAGGGAGATGTCTGTTCCCACTGCTTGCATCTGAGCTTCCTTGAGTCCCTAGGTCTTGCTAGGAAGAAAGACATGTTGTAATGGGCCAATTATGGGGCAGTGTGGGTCCTGGAGGGCAAGCAAAGAGCTGTTTCAAATACTGAGAAAACTTGGACTGGGTTAGGAGCCGGAGCTGCCTTCCAACGCTGGGGAATCGGGGCAGGGAGAGTCCACTGCCCCACCCCTCCCCCACCTTCCTGATCACCCAGCCCATTGTCACTTCAAACAACCTCTGGCTCCTCTAGCTCAGGAAGGCACCCCATGGACCTGTTTTTCTCCCTGAGACCTACCCCTCAGGCACACATAGGCTAGCCTTGCCAGGACATGTTGGTGACATGACCCTGGGGATAAGCGCTTTCACACCTGCCTCTTCGGGGCCCCAACGCCTCTCCCCAGCCTGGGAATGCCGCAAGGTGTCCAGGGCTGTGTGTCTAAGATAGTAAAGGCTCATGTGACTGCTTCCTGGAATAACAAGTGTGCCTAGCCTGGATTCTGACATATAACTTGAGGATCTTTGGAGGTCATCGAGTCTAACCTCCTCATTTTGCAGATGGCAACTGAGGCCTCGAGGGGAAGGGGCTTGTCTAGGATGAGTCCGGACAGGCACCATGTCTCTTGATCACCGCGGAAAGCCCATCACCCCTCTCGGTCTCGAGGCCCTGCAGTACAGGCGGCTGCCTACGTCACCTTCACCCAGAGCCCAACCCAGTGTGGACCCCTGACACGCCCCCAAGAAGCATCTCCCTTTCACAGGTGAGGGGACCATCCCAAAGTCACACGCGTGTGAACGCCAGAGCTCGCGCCCCTCTCCCCGATTGCCTTGAACCCTCGCCACACCCCGTTACAGGCCAACAGCTGGGGCCTGTGTATTTGGGTCATTCGTCCCCGGTCACTCGGATAGGTGGCTGGACGGTTTTGTAATGCAGCAGCCAGAAGCGGGAAGCGTGAGGCCAGGACGTCACGGTCATGCGCGGGCCCGCGGGGATGGAGTCTTAAGTGCGCGGGCTCCAGGCAGCGCGCGTGCGCGGCAGTCCAGGGCTCCAATTGGCACCCGCGGGCCGGGGAGGCGTGGCCGTGCGCGCCCCGCTTCCTCCGCCTCAGCTTCCGCGTCGCAGACCCCGGAGCTGGAACCCGAGCAGGATCCCTAGTCCCGGTTGGCTGTGGGGCGGGAGCGGCGGCCCGGGGCCAAGGTCAGGGCAGGAACCTGGGCTGAGGCTGCAAGCACTGTGTCCCTGTGAGCGCCGCGAAGCCCTATGCGGGCCCCCGCCCGGGACGGGGGTGCGCCGTGCGGTGCCTGAGCATCCCAGCGAGCGGAGCTTGACCCCTCTCCTGACCACCACGGCCCTACCCGCTCCTCCCTGACCTCCAGTAGGCTGAGAACCCTCAGCCCCCCACCCCGCTAGTCTGCACACCAGTGCCGCCAGCCCTGGTTGTTCACCTTCACAGATCAACTCGGGACCCCTCCCTTCCTCAGTGAGAGCTTGAAGGGCTCCAGCACCCCCATCCCTGGACCCTCCAGTAACTGCTTTTTCTTTTTCCCTCTACAGATGGACGGGACAGAAGGCAATGCTGGGCAGCCTGCCCCCGCTGATCGATCCCATAGAAGCAGTGTGTCTTCCGTAGGAGCCCGAGGTGAGTCCCTGTCCCCAGTCCCCTCCTTGCCATTCCCTTCTAGGGCCCAAGCCCTAAGGAAGTGGCCCTGGCTTGTCATCTCTTTAATTAAAGAGAATCTTATTTATTAGTTAACAAAGTATTTTGAGGTGTGGAAAAGTGACAGGTCAATCAGGACCTGGGATCTGTCACTGCAAGTTGAGTACTTTTCTTCAATCTAACTTGTTTCCTCACTTGTAAAATTTTACCTAACCATGAAATTCAAGCGAAATCTCCTGAATGAAAGAGGATACATTCACTTTCTTTGTTTGTTAAGTGGCCTTTTGAAAACAAGGATCATCATCTACATTTTATAGGAAGGAAACTGGGCCCTAGAGAGGTTAAGTCATAGGATACTGGAGACTTCACTGCCCCAGATTTCCCTGCCTGAAAAGTGAATCTGAATTTCAGCCTCTAGGATATTATTTTATGATCTCTGAAGAAAGTAGCTCTTAGAGCAGAACAGTCTAGGGATCTCCCAAAGCGCGTTTACCTATATGAATAATAAACTATGCCTTTGCTTTTCATAGGCTTCACCTCATTTGATTCACAGCCACTCTGTGAGGAGAGGGGTATTAGCCCTACTCTGCACGTGAGGCAACTGACACACTGACTTGCTGAAGTCAACTAGATAGGCCAGGCTCGGATTGGGACCCGAGCATATCCACCTCCAGGCTCAGTGCTCCCCCCCTGTACCTGCAGGCCCAGCGATAGAGATTTGAATCTGGCTGCTCTTCCAAGGGTCTCCCTTTGGCTCTAGGCTTCAGACAGGCACCTCACAGGCTGTCACAATGGAACACTCAACTTTCTGGGTTGTATTTCTCCTACCTGTTCAAGGCTGTCCTGAAAGGCCATAGTGTGAGTCCTGAAGCTTGAGGAGTCCTAAGGAAGCTGAGCCCTGGAACTTGTTTTACCCTAGGGTGGCTTTGAGAATCCACTGTTCCCATGTTAGCTTGGGCCAGAGAGAGACAGCGGCCTACCGAAGGATAACAGTGGATTACTAGCCCTCCCCCACTCCCTGCTTGATATACTAACTGCTGTGACCTCAGGATAGGTTCAGCCTGTCTCTGCCTCAGTCCCTCCTGTGGTATGTTCTCCTTCAGGGGAGAAACACACCAGAGTCCTTGGGGCTGCCAGGGGACTGTGTAGAGGGGCAGTGGCCAGCCCTAATTTGAACCTGTGGGATTAAGGTGGGGCTAGGCTGCTCCCTGGGCCAGAGTTGCTGGGCTTCTGGGTGATTTGAGGGTCTCCAGTAAGTCCTAACAGACAGCACTTTTCACAGGATCCTTTGTGGATGCTGGGGCTCTGCCTTTGGCATGTAGCCTTGGTCACCCCAAGGGGTGTAGGGTTGGGTAGTGGAGGGTGCCTTGTTGGCATGCCTGTGCCTGGGCAGTGGGCCCAGCTGACCCTGCCTGGCCTCCACTGCAGCAGCTGATGTGCTGGTGTACCTGGCGGATGACAAGATGGTGCCCCTGGCTGTGGAGAACCTGCCCTCACTCAGTGCCCACGAGCTGCATCGTGCTGTCCGTGAGGTCCTGCAGCTCCCGGACATCGCCCTGGATGCCTTCGCCCTCTGGCTCGCCTCGCCGCTGCTGGGTAAGGCTTAGCAGTGAGAAGCCTAGGCCGGAGGGTTGGAAGGGCTCTGACCAGTGGGAAAGATGGGGCAGCTACCAGAACCTCTGGCCACTATACATTAGGGAAAGGGGGAACTTGTGTATATCCAGGAGCCATCCATGGCTTTCAGGACCCAGAGACCTGAGAGGGTGCCTGGCCCGTTGCTCCCACCTCCTTTCTTTCTGGTGAGACAGAGGAGGGGCTGAGCCTGCCCCTCAGCCTCAGTGCTCCTGGACCTGAGTGTCAGGAGGAGCAGGGAAGGGGACCATGTTCACTGAACACGTGTTCTGTGCCACAGCCTGAGCTGACATTTTACAAGCAGAACTTTACCTTATCCTCATGGCCCAGCCTGGTTTTCAGATGAAGAAATTGAGGTTTGGAGTGGTGGGACCAGTGAGTGGTAGGACCAAAATCAGAAGGGCAGCCTGGGTGGCCCCCAACCAGCCTCTTTGAACTGTGTCCTGCTCTGTCGGGCCACGGAGGAAGGTGGGACCTGGCCCAGGAAGCAGCCTCCCCTGAGGATGAGACTCTCCCTGAGGGTGGGGAGGGCAGGATAATTGGAAACCCAACTTCTCTGCAGGGCGCCTCCAGCCCTGCCTGGTTTCTGGCCAGTGATCACCCTGCCATGCCCTTTCAGGCTGAGATCCCAAGGCAGGGGTGGCATGGGAGTCAAGGCAGTGGAGGGGGGTCTGCAGAATCTCAGACCTGGGGGACAGGGAGGGCGAGGTGCTCCCTGGGATCTCAGAGCCATTAGCTTGCTAGCTTGGACAGGGAGGGGGCCAGGGGAGAGGATGCCTCAGCTCGTGCGGGGGCCAGGCATGTTTTCTGAGCCTAAATAGTCTCCTCCCTTATAGAGGAATAGGGCAAGAAGGGAGTAGCTGGCTTGGTGGGAGAGGCTTGCCCGTCTCCCCACCCCCACCCACCAGTGGGAGCTTCCTGCCCAGCTGCTGTTCTCGCCCACCCGCTTCCTGCTGACCGGTCTCTTTTGGCCGCTCCCCACCCAGCTCAGCTGCCCCTCCTTACCCCTTCTGGCTGTTGGTCAGGACTGTCGGCCCCTTGGCTTGTTCTTGGGAAAGCTGGCCGAGGGGGTGAGGTGGGGTGGGGTGGTTTCATGTGTCCGGCCCCTGCCCTACCTCAGGCTCCCTGTCCTTGCAGTTGGGCAGCTTGTTTCTTCTCCCACTCCCTACTCGTCACATTCCTGCTCCCCCTTTGCAAGAATATGAATGGGTTGCCTGTGTGGCCGGTGGGTCACCCTGGGGCACTGCGCTGTCCAGGAGGCCCCAGCACAGAGTCAGCACCCACTTTGTTCCCAGGCCGGGTTCAGGAGGCTGAAAGGCCACTTCAGCTTTGACTTGGAACTCTTGGCCCCACACCACCCCCAGAGTGGGTGAAGCAGTGACAGATGCCCTGGGGCCGTGAGGCAGGGAGGGGGTACCGTCTGCTGGAGCCGCCCTTCAAGCTGGGTGTTCGGGAAAGTTTGACCTTCTCAGTGCCATTGTTGCTCTACATGGAACAGGGCTCCCAGGATTGTCAGTCTCGTTTGGGTGGCAGCTTCCAGGCAGGAAGGCCCTGTCTGGAAGTGTGGGACTGCAGGGTCAGCGTAATCCCGTCCTGACAACGGGAGTCCTCTAAGCTGCTGGGACCCAGGGTTTAAGGCTGGTTGGGGCTGGGCCATTGGCAGAAGGAAGGAACACTTGTCCCACACCCGCCTCCCCTACAGTGTCCCAGGGGTCCCAGCTAGCCAGTTACCTCATTCATCTCACCAGTATGTGCAGAGCACCCCCGCCTTGTGCTGGGCAGAGATCCAGATGCTAGGGGTCTGGTGGGGAACGAGACTGGTGTCCCTGCCCTCAGAGGACTCGAGGTCTAGTGTGGTACGAGAGTCGGGAGACTCGGCAGGCGGAGCCAGTGATTCTGGTGGCCTCAGGCACTGTCCCTTTTTGGGCTTTGTTTTCCCATCTGTAAAGTGGGTGATCCTCACACCCTCCCAACCCTGGAGTCCTGTGAGTGTCCAGATGGAGAGAGCGCACAAATGGCAGTGTCCCCTCCTGGGAGTGGTTAGGCAAGGAGGGTGGCAGATGGTGGCCAAGGATCTTGGTTAGAAATGAGGACTACTGGGAAATATGGATCAGAAAAATGATGGAAGAAAGGGGTGTGAGGAAGATGAATGCCGGGGTTGGATGGAAGAGGCAATAGGCAGGGAGGAAGGCCAGTTTGGAGGCTGTGGCTACTGTTTTGGGCTAAGGTCAGAGTCCAAATGGAAGCTCAAAGAACAGAGATGAGGACCATTGGCATCAGGCTGGCAGGACGAAGGGCTTGTCCCTCTGATGGCAGGGGTAAGGGGGTAGGTGTAGCTGGTACAAGGCGTGGATATTGCCTTCCCCCCTCCTGCACCCCCAGCAGCTATCCTCATTCATCACCTGATGGGCTTGGAATTGGTCTCAGACTCTCAAAGACCAGGGGCACTGGTCCTTGAGATGAAACCACTTTCTTGTTCCTGGCCTAAGGTGTTGAGTCTGGGGCTGGCTGACAGCCCAGAGACGAGGGGCTGCAAGTGGTGCACTCAGTCCTGGCTCTCACTGTCTAGTGGGGGCAGAGACAGTGAGGTGACATCAGATAGTGGTAAACGCTGTAACAGCAACCAAAAAGAGGGTGCAGTTGGTGTGATAAGTGACAGGAAGGGGCTGCCTTAGTTAGGGGTCTGGGGAATGTGATCCCTGAAGCTAGCCAGCCGTATGAGGATCTGGGGAAGGCTGTTGGAGGCAGGAGTAACTGCCTGTGCAAAGGCCCTGAGGCACAAACTAGCAGGGACTGTTCAAGCAATTGAAGAGGGCTGGCATGGCAGGAGCAGAGTGGGAGAGGGAGTGAGAAGGAAATACAGTGGAGCAGCCGGATGGCATGGGGCCTGGAGGCCATGGAGGCAGAGAGCTTGGAGGTCAGCTGGAGTCCCCAGGGGAGATGCTGGGGTGGGGGCTGGAAAGGGAGAGGCCCAGGCAATGCCAGAAGAAGGGGTGAACAGTCCCTTGGGCCTTTGAGCCTCAGTAACCAGTTTTGGGCTCTACTTCCTAATGCAGTACTGGGACCATCTGTGCCGCAACCCCCAGCACCTTCCATCCAGCCCACCCGGGCACTGTAGCGGATAGTCAGAGGCTGGCTCTGTCTCGACCCTGACCCCCTTTCACTTGCTGTGTGACTTTGGACAAGCATCTTAACCTCTCTGAGCCTTGTTTTTCCCTGTGGATGAAATGAGGGTAAGGTTCTTGCAGGGCAAATGCCATTAACCATTTGAAGTAGTCTGAATGCTTTGGACCTCCTTCAGCTAACATTGGCTACAGCTGCCGTGGTTGCTGCTGCTGTCAGCGGGCGGCATTTGCACTGGTCAGGGGCTTCATGGCCGCTTCCTGTCTCGTCCCTCAGAGGTGCAGCTGAAGCCCAAGCACCAGCCCTACAAGCTGGGCCGCCAGTGGCCAGAACTGCTGCTGCGATTCACTGACGCTCCGGACGACGACGTGGCCATGGGTCAGTGCTGCCACCTGTGTGTCGCTGTCTCCAGGGCCCACCACGGTCTAGAGTGTGGACTCCCAGCCCAGCCAGGCCTCCCTTGGCAGGTGGAGCTGCCCTGGCTGAGGAGCAGACCCGGCATCTCCCCCAGGGGAGGAAGTGATCCCTTAGGGGAGCCCAGGAGAAGGTGGGCTGGGGAGGCAGCGGGCACATGGAGATAGGTCAGGACTCCCAGCCTCTGGATAGCCCTCGGGTTTTCTGAGTCATGATGAGGAGGCTTGGGGACTGGAGACTGGGCCAGTCCAGGGAGAGGGCAGAGCTGGCTGCACAGGGTGGCCAGGCAGTGATTCCCTCCTCTCTCCCCAGATGAGCCCTCCCTGCAGTTCCGAAGGAATGTGTTTTTCCCAAAACGGAGGGAGCTCCAGGTGAGGAGTGAGCCCCAGGCAGTACCACCAGGTCTAGTGCCCTGTGTCCAGCCTCCCTCCTCCCTCGGCCCCTGGACACTGGTGCCCGACTCAGCTGAGCAGCCCCTCCCTGCCACACCGGCCCGTAGATCCGTGACGAGGAGGTCCTGCGGCTGCTCTATGAGGAGGCCAAGGGCAACGTGCTGGCCGCTCGGTACCCGTGCGACGTGGAGGACTGCGAGGCCCTGGGCGCCCTGGTGTGCCGCGTGCAGCTCGGGCCCTACCAGCCTGGCCAGCCCACGGCCTGTGCCCTGAGGTGAGGGTCAGCGCGACCCAAGGCAGGGGCCCGAGGTGGGGAGGGTTGCCCCAGAATTCTACTTACGTGTGGTCTTGCCAGGCTCTGGAGTCAGGAGGCCTGAGCCCAGGGCTGGCCCTGATGCTGTGTGACTTTGGGTGAGTCACCCCAGCTCTCTGAATCTCCTTTTCCTCATCTGCTCTGGGCTGAGGGGCCTGGGCAGTGGGAGACGGGTGAAGTGACACCTGTGAAAGGACCCCCCGTTGTGCGTGAGCACGGATCCCCAGCCTCTGCCTGAGGTTAAGAGGCAGTTAGGCTTGTTCTTTTGGGGGTCACAGCCAGGGACTGAGCAAATATGAACTCCCAGTCGCCAGTGATAGTCTAGCTTAGTCCTGAACTCCAGGGACAAGGCCCCATTTCCCGGATGCTCCAGCATGCCGGCTTTGCGCTTCCCACCCCCTCTCTCGAGAAGCCGTGCTCTTTGCTATGTGGATTGGCAGAACCTGGGGCCGTGATGATTGAGTCTGCTCTGGAAGCAGACCAGGCCCTTCTCTGACCTCCACAGACGATGATCCAGAGGCTTAGCGGTAATTCCAAAGAGGATGAACTCTCAGCACAGCCTGTTTCTGGACCCAGGGCTCCCCAACCGTCCCTCCCAGGTGCAGGTGTGCTGGGGGAAAGGATGCGCAGAGACAGGGCCTTGTGCCGGGTGACTGACAAGTCACCATCCTGGGCTCGGGAGCCTGAGGGCTCCCAGCTGAGCTGGCGTGAGGCTGGCGGCTGTAGAAATCCTGGCTCTTGTGATGGGCATATCTGTTCCTATTGCAAGTGAAGCAAACCCAGCTCAGACTGTTTGGATTTGAGGGATTTTGTCAAGTAATGAACAAGTCTAGGGTGGTTGTGTTGGGTCCTTCCCCAGATCCTGTGCCCTCTGTGCCAGCTCGCACGTAGGCAGGCTCTGGCCTCTTGGTGGCCACAATATTTGCCCATTGGTAAGGAGAGGCCTCATCACTCATGTGACTAGAGTCCTGAGACTCATCTAACCACTGGTGGCTGGGCCCAGGTCCACCCAAAGGAGGCAGAGTGGCCAGGGTGCTGATTGGCTGAGGCCTCGGGCCGTGAGCCTGCAAGGACCCCATGGACTGGAGTGGGAAGGTGGGATTTCCAAATGACGACTGGGAGCTGTTGCTGGAAGCAGGGGTGTGTAGGACAAATGATGAAAATGTCCAGGGTACCCCTGTGCGCCCCTCCTTGTGCTGCCCTGTGGCTGGGCCTCTCTGGGCCAGCACAGGCTCCTTCCCTGCATCAGTCCTGCCACAGGGCTGGCCACGTCTCCCCTCCACCTGAGGTGTTGGTCCTCCAGAAGCCCCGGCAGGGACCCCTCCTTTCTTCAGTGAAAATGACAAGCTCGGTGGTATTTGCCTGGCGCCCACCACATACCTACCGGGCACATACTAGTGCCCTTCCACGTGAGTAGGGATTCGTGTCCTTATTTTACACGTGGAGAAACTGAGGCTTGGAGAGGGCGCTCATGGCTTGTAGACTGGACTCCAGCTGCGGTTCACCTGGAAGGGCTGGTGCATGGCCACGTAGTCACTGGGCTGCCTGAGAGGACAAACAGTGTGGTCACACCAAGGTTCTTTCCTACCCTGTGTGTGTGTGATTGAAAATGCTCATTTCTTCATGAACCTGGGCTGATGGGTTGGTGGTTGGTGGGGTTTTATATCCCTGTTTGGCAGAACAAAGCTTTGATAGCTCTAGGTCACTTGTACCAGTTTTTGGTTGTGACATCTCCACTAGTTCAGAAATCCAGACCTTCCTGACTCGGACATGAACGTTGCTCTGAAACCCTCCAGCCAGACTGGTTCTGGGGTGGGTCTGGTTTCGGCTCTTCTCTCGGTCTCCTGACTTCAGGCCTCTTGCCGACCAGGCATATTGCTGGGATGTCCAGGGCTTCCCCTGCCCTTTCCATGCCCTGGAGACCTGGACACCTCTGGCCAGCCCACAGGCATGGGCGCATCCTCATGCCAGGCACCCACCTTCCTTCCTCCACAGGGAGAAGCTGGACTCCTTCCTCCCTGCCCACCTCTGTAAGCGGGGCCACGGGCTCTTCGCCGCCCTCCGGGGCCGGAGCACCAAGGCTGGGACGGGCGAGCAGGGCCTGCTGGACGCCTTCCGCCGGGTGAAGGAAACGGCAGCGGGGACAGCGAGCCCGAGGCCTCCCTGAGCCCCTACTACCGCGCCTATCTCCTCAAGTGCCACGAGCTGCCCTTCTACGGGTGAGCAGCTCCCCGGCTGCAACCACGACCCCGGGTGCCCGGTCCCTCCCCTGCGCCTGCCTCCCGCTGGGCTCTGTCCTCACGCAAGATGTGTCTAGATGCCAGCACCTCTGGCCCCGCAGGTCCCAAGCCAGACACTCATCTTCCCCCTCCCCTGTCACGGGCCAGGAACCCCCACAGGTCCTCTCTTTCCTCCTGCCATGGCCATGTGGTCCACGGACCCCCTCTTTGGTGAGCTCGCTCACTTATGCAGGCATATCTAGCCAGTAGCTCTTGTGTACCTACTATGTGCCAGCACTCTAGGTGCCAGAGACACCTCAATGAGCAAAAGAGACTCATCCCTGCCCCTGAAGCCACCATTCTAGCGGCAAGAGAGACAGCAATAGAAGTAGAGGACTGACCCGTGAGGACAGTGACAATACTCCAAACGATGCTGTGGCTCAGCCTGGTGGCAGTAACGCAGGAGGGGAGACAAGGTCAGATTCCAGGGCTGTTGAGGGGGGAGTGGAAGGAGCTTGCTAGATGTGTGGTAGAACTGGAGGAGAGCAGGCAGAGAGGACTCCGCGTTTCCAGCCCGAGCAGCTGGAGGGTGGCGTTGGCATCAGCCGAGACCAGCAGTGCGGTGCAGCAGGTCGGGGAAGATCCAGGGCTTGTCCTTGGATGTGAGGATTTTGAGACGTTCGCCAGATACCCAGGTGGTAATTCCAGGTAGGTTTCTGAGTCTGGAGTTGGGTAGCTGGTGAGTCATTAGCATGTGGGTGCTGTTTGAAACTAGGAGCCCCAAGAGATGACCAAGAAGGTGAGTGTGGACCAGACAGAGCAGGGCCCCAGCCAGCAAGGCCAGAGGGTCTCTACCAGCCCAGCAAAGGGAGGTGTTGAGGAGGAGGGAGTGACCAAGCCTCAGGAGCTGCTGTTTCAAGGTCCAGTTTAACATGTCCTGTGTGGCTGATAGTTGACCTTGGCTCCAGAATCATGGAGGTGGCAGAGGGTGAAGGAGAGAGAGAAAGAGGGTCGGAGACAGTGGGTGCCACCAGCTTGTTGAGGGAGCTGTGCTGTAAGATGGAGCCCAGGGAGGAGCAGCAGCGTGGCTGCAGGCGGCACGAGGTCTCTGGTTCTGTGGCAGACGAGGTGCGTGTGTGCGGACAGCCAGGATCCAGTAGAGAGTGAAAAACTGATGTGAGGGCAGGGAGTGGCCGTTCTTCTGTTTCTTCAGTCTCCTCAGTGGAGTGGGAGTCCCAGCCCTGAGCCTGTGGGAGCCTCCCCGGAGGGGGACTGCTGCTCTTAGAAACTGAAGGTGGGGCGTGCTGGTTTCAGTCCCATCCTTGGGCCTGCAGGATTTAACGAGGGCTCTGGCTTAGCCAAGTGCAAGGGGGCGAGGGGCCCAGGCCGCGGGAGGCGTGGAAGAGGACGTGGCGGGGCAGGAGGGAGAGGGTGGCAGCTCAGTGGGGGGACGTTCCAGGGCCGCTGCATGCTTTCCCCTTCTCCATGTCAAGTGCTTCCCTGCCTGGGCAGCTCCTGGGGGACAGCGGGCTGTGAGGCTCTCACAGCCTCCAGCAGCCTCAGCCCCTGAGTCCGTGGGCTCCTAGCCATTCCCCAAACATGACTTGCTCTGTCCCACACCTGTTCATGCTTTTCCCTCTGCCCGCAGTTCCCACCCTCCTCTGCTACCCATTCTTCCTCCTGTCTGTTCAAACCCTGCCATCCCACTGATCAGCTCAGATGCCACCATCTCCACGAAGCCTCCCTCAGTTTCTCCGTTCCCTGGAGTGGGTTTCCAATTAACCGTCAGTGACTCAAACAGCTTAAGTTTCTCAGTGCCTTGGACGGCCTGGCCAGAGCATTCACTGCAGGGTGAACCTGGGCCATCTGTTCTTCGTGCTGGAGGGGACAGGCTAATGCCAGTCTCCCTCCCCAGGTGTGCCTTCTTCCACGGCGAGATTGACAAGCCAGCCCAGGGCTTTTTGCACCGGGGTGGTCGAAAGCCAGTGTCTGTGGCCATCAGTCTGGAGGGCGTGCATGTCATCGACAGCAGGGAGAAGGTACCTCCAGCTCCTCCAGGTTGGGACCTGGAGGGGGGTGAGGGGGGCTCAGTGGAGAGGAAGGGAGTGGGATTCTCACCCAGGCCTTCCTGGCTCCCTCAGGCCTGTGGTTGGCCTTGGGGCAGGGTGGGTGGTCTGTCTGGCCTCCCTCCCTCCTATGTCCCTTCGGCTTCCACTTGTCATCCTGGGGGCTTCCCCGGGTCTGCTGTGTGTCATCCTCTCTGCCCAGCATGCTAGGCAGGAGGGTGGCCAGGACAGGGGAAGGCTGCAGCTAGTAGAGGGAATCTGGCAGGGCCTGGCTGCTTCGGCCAGCCAGTGGCTGGAGACTAGCTGGTGGTTTTCCAGAAGCCCCACAACCAGGTGCCCTCCTGGCTGTCTGAGTCCTGCGCCTCCTCCTCCTGTACTTGGCGCTGGCTATCTCAACCAGCTGTGTGGAAGTGGTGTCAGCAGCCTACCCTGCGGGGCAGCTTCTCTGCACCCGGGCAGGAGTCCCTCCTAAGCCAGCAGAAAACTTTGGGGAGACTTCTGGTCCCAGAGAGGGATCCCAGCCATTCCTGGGCAGCCATACCCCAACATACTGGGCTCACCTTGGCCTCCTGCTGAGATGCTACCCAGCTGATCTCAGGGGAAAGGTCTCTGCTCCCTACATGCCTCTTTCCCCGTCACTGCCCCAGCTGTCAGGGGCTTGACTCACTGGTGAGAAGTGCTATGGGTTAGGGGTTCTCAGCCTCCCTGGACCATAGCCCCCTTTAGGGGTCTGAATGAAGCAGGGATTCCTCTCCCAAGAGAAACTCACACATGAATTTAGGCTCAGCCTTGAAGGTAAATAGCCTGGCCAGGTGTCTCTTCTCGGTGATGCCCCAGTGGGATGGGGCAGGTAGCAGGCCTCTGCCCAGGGGAGTCCAAGCTCTGTCTCTCTCTCTGGTCAGCATGTCCTGCTGGGCCTGCGCTTCCAGGAGCTGTCGTGGGACCACACCTCCCCCGAGGAGGAGGAGTCTGTCCTGTGGCTGGAGTTCGATGGGGACAATGAGGGCACACCGGTCAACAAGCTTCTCAAGATCTATTCCAAGCAGGTAGTGTGGGTGTTGGCTGCACTAGGGGTTGGGGTGAGGGAGGGGGAGGGTGGGCTCAGGGAGTCCTAGACAATTGGAGGCTCCAGGCTGGCTGGCAAGGAGGTGAGAGGGCTGCTGAGGGCCCGGGACCCGGAACCTGACTCCTGCTGACCAGGAGCCACCCCTGCGAGTTTGGAAGGCCTGGTCAGGAGGTGGGACAGTGGCTGGTGGAGGGGCGCCAGCGCTGTGAGACCAGCCTGCACTGGCTCCCAGTGATGAGCAGGCATGGAAGGGGTGAGGCCCCTGGTGCCTTTGTTCCGCCCTCCTTCCCTTCAGCACCCCATCTTCCCACCCGAGCCTCCACCCCCGCCCCCTCTCACTGAGCAGGCAGATGCACTCCAGGGACTCCCTGTGAAAGCACCCATCCCCTTCTGCTACCACCTTGGCCCCTAGACCCTCCGTGGCCACACTTCGTCCTTTGCTCTCTCCTGCCTCCCTCCCCAGCCCTACACCTGCTGCTCCAACCCAAACCCCTGGGGCTCTGTCACCCAGCGCACGGGTGCCTGTCCTGTCTCCTCTGTAGCTTCCTGCACACCCCTCTCCTGGCCCTGCAGTGACTCCTCCTGCCTCCCCCCACCACCGCTTGGCTGCCTTCCCCGGCCTCCCCAGGGGGTTCTCTCCCTGTCTTAGCACTTCCTTTCCTCTGGGCTTTGACTAATTGGCTGTCCCCACTTCCCTGCTGGTGACTTCATAAGTTTTACATCACTGGTCTAGACCTCTTTTTTAAGTTAACTTTTTATTGAATTATACATTCAGGAAAGTGCCCAAATCCTAAGCATATAGCTCAACATATTTCCCCCAAAGAAACCCACATAGCACCCTTCAGATTAAGAAAGACTCTTCAAGCCCCTCCCAGCCCTGTGTCCCGTCAGGGGCGCCCCCATCCTGACTTGTGTCACCCAGAGACCTTCTGCTGGGTTTGGAGCCTTACAGCAGCGGTTCCAGTTGTTCCGCACAGCATGTTCTGTTCCGTCCGGTTTCTCCGCTCAGCCCTGTGTCCCTGAGCTCTGTCCCCACTGTGGGTGGCAGCCCTTTGAACTTTCACGCGGCTCTCTGGTGTTACTGCCGTGAATTTGCCAGTCTTGGCGTTTGCACTCATTGCTGACTGCTGACGGGCACTTGGGTCTCCAGTTCAGGACTCTGGCAGACGATGCTGCGTGATCAGGGTCCTGCGTGTTCCCTGTGCCCGCATCTGGGTCCCTACCCAGGAGTGGACAGGCTGGGTCACAGGCAGGCACGGCTAGGCTGCTGCCAGTTTGCACCAGGGCGCTCGCCAGCGGTGGACGGGCGCTAGCTGCCCCACACCCTCCCCAACGGTTGGTGGTGTCAGTCTTCATTCAGCCACTCTGGTGGGTGAGTGGGAGTATCTCATATGTCTTTACTTTGTTGTCAGCTTTAAGAGGTATAATTTATGATAAAATGAAGCCATTTAAAGAGTGAGTTTTTTGTTTTCTTTTGTTTTTTTGCTGCATTTTAATTTTATTTTTTTGGTGGGAATAATTAGGTATATTTAATTATTTTTTGATGGAGGTACTGGGGATTGAACCCAGGACCTCATGCATGCTACACACACACTCTGCCACTGAGCTACACCCTCCCCCAAAAGTGAATGTTGACACGTTCGCGCACCCTCCTAACGACCGCCACCAACGCAAGCTTTGGAGCCGCTTATGTGCCGCCATGTATCTTCCTAGAGGCGAAATGTCTGTTCACATCTTTTGCCCATTTTTTTGCTGGCATTATTTCCATCACCCCCAAATCTCTGTGTGTTTTAATTGGCATTTCCCCCTCCCGACTAATGAGGTGGAGCCCTTTTATGTATGTATGCACTGTTTCTTTGGGGTTATCTTCTTCTTTTTTTTTATTGTTTTGTACATGTCTCTTCTGGCTTCAGGCTCATCTCTTCACCTACTACTTAACATCTCCCCCAAGCTATCCCTAGAGTTTTGCTTGCTCTAGAATGTCATGTAAACACGTTTATCATATTTATGCAAGACAAAGGGAGACATATGTCTACACACAGACGTCTACTCAGATGTTCATAGCAGCTTCATTTGTCATGAGCAAAGAATTGGAAACAACCCAAAAGTCCATCAAGTGTTGCGTAGATAAATAGATACTGGTCCAGCCATACAGCGTATATACTGTATGCAGCCTTTGCAGCCTGACCTCTTTCACTAAGATTCGGGCGTCTGAGATTCATCCACATTTCATGGTATGACGGCTTGTTCTTTTGATTGTTGACTAGTGTTCCATGGTGTGGCTGCACTACAGGTCAGCTCTTCTCCCACTGAAGCATGCTTGGGTTGTTTCCCATTTGTGAATAAAGGTGCTCTAAACATTTATCTATCATGTGGGCACATGCCTTCATTTCTCTTGTGTAAACACCTAGGAGTGGGATTGCTGGACTGTCTGATAAACATATGATCAGCTTTTCTAGAAACTACCACACAGTTTTCCAGAGTGACTGAGCCGTTTTGCCGTCCCACCAGCAGAGACCGAGAGTTCCAGTTGCTCTGCATCCTCGCCCAGCACTGGTCTTGTCAGTTTTTGTTTGTTTGCCATTCTATAACTGCAGGGTAATGCTAGGTCGTGGTGGCTTCAATTTGCATTTTCATAATGACTGATGGTGTTGATCATCCTTCTGTATGTTTATTTGCTACCCATAGGTCTTCTTTGATGGAATGGCTGTTCAAATCATTTGTCCAATTTCTTAATTGGGTTATTTGTTTTCTTACGGAGCTGTGGGAGTTCATTATACATTCTGCATACCAATCTCTTATCAAATATGTGTTTTTGCAAATGGTTTCTTTCAGTCTGTAACTTTACTTTTTATTTTCTTAAAAATGTCTTTTGAAGAGATGGTTTTAAGTCTTCTCTTCCATTTATTTGTTATCTCCATTTTATTTGTCTTTGATTTCTTTCACTAACATTTTGTGGTTTTCAGCATACAAATCTTGTACATCTTTTATTACATTTATCCCTTCTTTTGGGGGGAGGTGCTACCAGAGATGGTACTATTTTTAATTTCCATTTTCAGTTGTTCACTGTGGTATATAGAAATGCAGTTGATTTTGTTATTCATATATCCTTATCTTCTGTAACCCTGTTAAACCCACTAGTTCTAGTAGTTTTTTGCGGATTCTTTGGGATTTTCTCTGTGGACAGCTATGTTGTCTCCAAATAGAGACAGGTGCATTCTAACTTTCCAGTCTGTATCTTGCCTGACAGTGTCCCTTCTGAACCCCGTACAGTGGTGAGTAGGTGTGAGCAGATATCCTTGACGTGAGGGAAAAGTGTTCATTCAGTCTTGCTCTAAATGTGGTGTTAGCTGTGCATTTTTCATAGATGCCCTTCATCAGGTTAAGGGAGTTCCCTTCTGTTTCTAGTTTGCTGAGTTTTATCCTGAATGGATAAATGCAGTTAAGGTACAAGCCTCCCGAACCTCAGAAGCATCAGATGGTGTTAGCGGAACTCAGAGGGCTTCCCCTGTTGTGCCTGTAGCTCAGGGCTCGTCCCCACCAGCTGCCCAACTGCCTGCCTGCTGGCCGCCCACGGGCCCTTACAGCTTGGTGGCATTCCCTCGGAGAGGAGAGGGGGCAGCCGTGGAGCCCAGGATGCTGGCTCTCCCTCCTGGGCCCACATTTCCTGCCCGCTCCCCTTCCGTAAGGGTGGGTTATGTTGCTCTGGAGAGACTCAGGCCGCACCATTGGGCGGGTGGGCGCCGGCCACCCCCTTGGACTCTGACCCTGCTCCCCAGTGGATTTTCTTCTTGGGGACACGAGGCAGGCATTGTGTCCCCTGCCTGCAGCAGGGCCGCCACCTAATGAACGCGTGCTGCCTTGGGGACGCCCCCTGCTGTCAGCTTTCTGTTGGTGGGTGTGCCTGCCCTGCCGTCCTGTCATGTGGTGCACAGACATTGAGTCACATCCGCTTTGATGTCAGCACGCATAATGTTTCAAGTCTGGTGAGAAGGCGTCACTTATGGAGAATGTGCTCAGAGGGAGCCACCCATCTCACCCCGGTGACCTCACCACCCCCTCCTCTGTGGCCTCCTGCAGATTCTTCTCTCAGCCCTGAGAGCACAGAGAGCTCTGCCTGGGCCCTCCCCTCCCTCCTGCTCCCCGCTTGGCCTGTGCCCTCTAACTAGAATGTTCCTTTCCCACCCGTGTCTGACTTCTGAAGTCACCTCAGAGGGCAGGTGAGGGGGCTGCGTTCATCTCGCTCTGCAGCAGGTGTGGAGAGGTGGCCTGGGCTGTGGCTCACCCCTCGGGTCTCCTCAAGCCGGCCCCTTCCACCTCCCCAGGCCGAACTGATGAGCAGCCTCATTGAGTACTGCATCGAGCTGAACCAGGTTGCCACGGAGCCCGCAGCCCCCCAAGAGAGTGCGTCTGGCCCCACCTTGGCCCCTGGCCCCTCCCCCATCCCCTACTCAGCGCCCCCAGCTGCGGAGGCAGGGCAGCGTGGTGTGCAGTCGGATCCAGCATCTCTCCACCATCGACTACGTGGAGGAGGGTGAGTGACTCCTTTGTGATTACACACGCATCTCCATGCACACCCACACGCCACGGGGAGCTCCAGAGGGTCGGGAGGTAGCAGCAGTTACAAACCTGGTGGTTTAACCTCCAGCTGACAGGACCTGGCTGAGAGGCTGAGGGCTGGGCACGAGTGTCACATCTTCTGAGCTCTGTGATAGGAGAGTTGGAGGCCTTTGGGGTCCCAGTAGTAAGAGCCCTTTTCTGTCCCTTCTCACTGCCGCATCCACAGATGTGTCCAGGTGTGGAAAATGAGAAACTACCCATGACTGTTGTGTGGGTACAGGCCCACACCCTGTGGAATCAGTGCAACTGGTAAAGCTGCCACACCCTCATGCAGTGTGGTGTCTTGGATCAGGTCCCAGAAGAGACGGCAGACATGTGGATGAACAGGTGAAATCCCAAAGTCTGCAGCTTAGTTAATAAAGCCGAACCAGTGTTCATTCCTTAGCTGTGACAAACGGACTGTGGTCATAGACGATGCTAACATAGGAGAAGCTCGTGAGGATACACAGGAACTCCTTGTATTATCTTTGCAACTTTACTGTGAATCTAGAATT